CAAGAAGCCTTCCCCCCTCCCTCTACCCCCCTCCACTATATCCTAGCATGGCGTTATCGTTATTTGTGCGACGCCTCCGCCTCCCACCCTTCCGCCTCCCCCCTCCTCCTAGACTCACTCGCACTCAGATTCAATGATAGCCAAACCCAGTCGTATCCAGATTTGCTCACACTCAGAGCAGACTAATCCGGGCTCGGACTCACACACTCTCAGACTCATTCACACTCAGACCCAGCCCTACTCATACTCCCATGCCCATACTCAGACCCACCCATACTTAGACTCACTCACACTCAGACTCATCCACGCTTAGACTCACTGACCCTCCGACACATTCACACTCCGACTCACTCACACTCAGACTCACTCACTCATGAAGCTACCAGGGGGTCTCTCACGGGCCCGCTTGCGACCAGCGTGTGGGGATGTTTCGGGCGAAACGCCCGCTTGGGCTTCACCGACTTGTTCAGAGCCACATGATCATGGCGATGTACCAGGCATAGCACTTGGGCGTACCAAAGGGGATCCGCCAGGGGGCGAAGAGAGAGGGAGGGAGAAATGGTTTAGACAAACCAGTAACTTACTCGACGCGGAGTTCTCCGCATGTGCACCGCATTTCCCGGCGCGTCCCGCAGCGAGCGTCTGAGTGGGAGAGTTTTAGCTTGTGACGATGGGGCGCTCCCTGGCGGCTCCCCCTTGGGGTGCCCAGGTGATATGCTTGCTACGTCGCGGTGGAGTCAGTGTGTCCGAACCAGCGCTTCGCTTGGGGCGTCCCCGCGATATGACCGCCAACGGGCAAGTGTAACACTCTCTGGCGCCTCCCCGTTTGGGTGCCCAAGTGCGCTGCATCTGAATGGGAGAGTGGTCTGAGCGTGATGAGTCTGAGTGTGAGTGAGCCTGACGGGTCTGAGTGCGGGTAAGTCTGAGCGTGGTGGAATGTTAGTATGAGTGAGCCTGAGTGTGGGGGAGTCGGAGTGTCACTGGATCTGAGCGCGTGTTGTCTGAGTAGAAGTAATCTGAGTATGGATGAGTCTGAGTGTGGGCGAGTCAGGGTGCGAGTGAACTATGTGTGAGCGGTCTGCGCGAGTGGGTACACATACGATGTGTCTGCGCCTGCGCGGATCTGAACGCGAGTTGAGGGAAGCAGCCGAGAAGGAAGGAGGATGAAGGAGGAGGCCCGAACGAGCGAACCGTCTGAGACAGCCCCCTCAGTCTGCGCGCGAACGGGCAAGTTTCGTACCCCCTGGCGTCTCTTTGTCGGGGCGCCCAAATGCCACGCCGCTTTCTATGCCGTAGTCTTCACGAGGCCATCAAAAGAAAGAAGCCTGAGGGCGGTCAAGATCAGCAAACCGCATGGGACAGCCTCACAAGCTGCGCGCGAACTAGCAAGTGTCATACCCCCTGGCGGCTCCTCCTTGGGGTGCCCAGAATGCCACGACTGCTATATCACAGTGACCGAGAAACTCTTAGAAGAGATGCGTCTGGCCAACCAAGCAGGCGAAACGCAGGAGACATCCCCACAGTCTGGGCGCGTGCGGGCCCGTGTCGCACCCCCGGGCGGCTCCTCCCTGGGGCCATGATGTGATATCGCGGTGAGCATGAGGCCCTTAACAGGGATGGGTCTGAGCAACCAAGCTCGCAAACCGCCTGAGGCATCCCCACGATCCGGGTGCAAACGGACCAGTGTCATAGCCCCTGGCTGTCCCTCCTTCGGACGCGGAGTGCTCGAGTGCCAGGCCTGCAATATCGTGATCAGCATGCATGAGCATGAAGCTCTCAGCAGAGATGGGTCTGAGCAACCAAGCCAGCAAACCGTCTCAGACACCCCCACAATCTGGCAGGGAGCAGGCCAGTGTCATGTCCCCCAGCGGCCCCCTCAGGGGACCCACATGCCACCCCAGCTGTATCGCGAAGAAGCTCAGGCTTCCAAAAGACGTGGGTCTGTTCAACCAAACACGCCAGCCGCCCGAATCATCTCCGCATTTTGGCCGCGAGCGGGCAAGTGTCATACCCCCCTGGCGGCTCCTCCGTGGGTGCCCAAATGCCCCGCTTGCCACCTCGCGTGGGCCCTCAAACGAAGATGAGTTTGACCAACCACGCAAGCAAACCGCCTGAGTCATCCCCGCAAGCTGGCCGCGAGCGGGCCAGGGTCATACCCCCTGGCGGCTCCCCCTTGGGGTGCCAAAACGGCACGCCTGCAACATCGCGGTGAACACTGGGCTCTCAAAAGTGATGAGCCTGATCGACCAAACACGCACATCGCCTGAGACATCACCCCAATCAAGGCACGAGCGGGCAAGGGTCATACCCCCTGGCGGCTCTCCTCTGGGGTGCAAGGTGCCACGCGTGCTATATCGCAGTGGTCACGGGGCTCTCAAAAGAGATGGGCCTGCTGAACCAAACACGTAAACCGCCTCACTCATCTCCACAATCTGGCCGCGAACGGGCAAGAGTCACTGGCGGCTCCTCCTTGGGGCGACCAAAATCCACGGCCGATATATCCTGGAGCCCATGTGGCTCTCAACAGAGAGTGTGTGTGTGTGTGTGTGCGTGAGAGAGTCTGCGTGTCCGTGAGTCCGAGAGTGAGTGTGAGTGTGAGTGCGAGTGTGAGAGCGGACCTGTGTGCACGATTGTGCGTGCGCGTGTGGGTTGGACCACTCCTGGCATGAGCGCCTCCGAGCGCGGGCCAGCCCGAGCGCGAGCGAGCCCGAGCATGAGCGAGCCGAAGTGCCGGCGCGGCTGGGCGTGCGAGGCGGAGTGCCTCCCTGGGGCCCCACACCTCGGCGCACGGCCCGGGCCACCGCCCGGCTGGCCCCCTCTTGCGGGATGCGCCAGGGGGCCCAGAGCCGACCCAACAAATCCGCGCGGAGCTCCGAGAGGTGAGGCTTGGCTGATCTGCGCTGGCCGCCTTCCCGCTTCAAGAGTCGAGCGGTTCTTCCCTCTTCCCTCCTCTTCGGGGTGGGGCCGTCTCCAGCCCTTTCTGCCCCCCTCTCTTGGGCCGTCTTGAGGCCATCCCGAGGCCGCATGACACCATCAGGAACAAGGAGGAGGAGGAGGAAGAGGAGCAAGAAGGAGGAGGAGGAGGAGGAAGAGAAGAGAAGAGAAGAGAAGAGAAGAAGCAAGAGGAGGTGAAGGAATGGAGAAGGGAAGCGGAGGAGGGCGCGAGGCAGTTGATAAACGCGTGAGCCAGCGAGATCCGCAGCCTCTGGCTCGAGCCTCTGGCTCAAGGTTCCCGCGAGCCCGCGCCCAGCAGCCTGGCGCCACGTGGGCCGGGATGGCTCCTCCGGGCGCGAAGGCGCGGCCGCCGCTGCGGGGCCGCATCCGGCAGGCGTCGCTGCTGGCCTGGGCATGCGCGTGTGCGTGCGCATGCGCTGGCTGCTCCTCTGAACTCGGCCTCCCCGACAGCGACGCTGATGCGCCCACCGCGGCGCCGTACTGCGGCATAGCCGTGGACGTGTATGCGTGCCGCGACGAGATTGCCCGCCTGCGGGTGGCCGACTCGGAGGTTGGGGGCAGCTTCGAGGGCATGTGCATGGGCTACGGCGGCACCCACCCGCCGGCCCAGCTCGGCAAGGTGGCCGCGGACAGGGACATGCAGGAGACGACAAGACGGCACAGAGGTAAAGTGTCGGAGGTCCGCGCAGATGTTTTGGATCTGCGCTGGGCGGCCCTGGCGGCGCTTCCGTGGCGCTGCCCCTGGTTTGCTCCTCGCGCCAGGGAGGGCTGTCAAGCGCCGATCCAAGGAATCCTTGCTCCTAGCGGACCTTCGAGAGTTTACGTTTAAGCAGTTCTGTCTTCTTGTAAAATGTGCACCCTGAACATCCACAATGATTGCAGCCACTGGTACCAGGCACAGTCTGGGGCGTGGACGTGCGCTCACGATTATGGGCTGGGCAAAAATCCGGACGACTGCGGAGGTCGCTATTTTTTCTTGTGGGACGAGCCGCAGACGCAGGGCTTCAACGCCGAGTGGGCAGCACAGCAGTGGAAGGCTCACGTGGACAGGTGGCCCTCTGAAATGGCAGCGTTGCGCGACCGCGGCACGCGGATCACAAGTCCCATGTTCTCCGACAACGGCGGGCCCGCCCAGGACAAGTTCCAACGTTTCTTCCATGCCTGCGGTGCTGGATGCAGCGACCCCGCTTCCCCGTATTTCGTGGACGTTCTGGCAGTGAACCAGTGGCTGACAGGCCCGAGCAGCAATCTCGAAGAAGAAAAAACGACATGGGCATAAACTGTTGGCGCTCCGCGCTGATCCGAGAGATCCGCGCGGAGCGCCAAGAGTTCACGTGTATGGCTTCTTTTCTTCTTCTGCAGTCACGCTGCCAACGAGCTGTGGATCAAAGACGAGGTGGCCAAGATCAGCTCGGCGAACGGCGACCGTCCGGTCATCCTGGGCAATTTCGGATGGCTCGGCGCGACGAGCGCAGACCAGCACGCGGAGGCCATCAGGAACAGCCCCGTCTGGGACCGGTCTTGGTCGGGGCTCGAGGCCGTCTTCTACTTCGCGGCGACGGACTATGTCGAAGAGGAACAAGCGGCAGAAACATGAACTGCTGGCGCTCTGCGCGGACTTCTTGGATCCGCGCTGGGGCCCCCTGGCGGCGCCTCCGGCGCCGCCCCCAGCGCGCTCCGTGCGCCAGGGAGGGGACTCAGAGCGCGGATCCGAGAAAGCCGCGCGGGCCTCCAAAAGTTTACGTGTACAGTCGGGGCGCTGAAGAAGGAACTCTTTTCGTTGGGGAGGGGCTCCGTGCTCCTTAATTGTTTCACAGCTTGCCCCACGTTTTCCTTAGGTTTTCGATGGGAAATCGAAGTTCAACTTCTGGAGAAAAGGGGGCTCGGTCCTTATTTAGGGTTCCTTAGGTCAGCGCCCCGACTGTATGCCGCGTTTCGTTCTTCCGTCATGGCGGCGGCAGCTCCCACAACCGCCTGTCCGAGGAAACGAGCAGCGGCACGACACTGGCCGAGGTGCTGGTCGAGCGGTGCAGGGCGCGGGGCGCGTGAGCTGCCCTGGAGGGTTTCTCCGAAGGGCCAAGGCGACCCGTCCTTCCTCCTCCTTCTCCTCATCATTCTCCTCCTCCTCCTCCTCCTCCTCCTCCTCCTCCTCCTCCTCCCTCCTCCTCCCATCCCTCCTTCCCTCCTCCTCCTCCTCCTCTCCTCCTCCTCCTCTTCCTCCTCGTCCTTCTCCTCCTCCTCCTCCTCCTCCTCCTCCTCCTCCTCCTCCTCCATCTCCCCCTCCTCCTCCTCCTCCTCCTCCGTAGCCATCTTGGCTCAAGAGTCCATGTCAGGAGGGAAGCCCCGCGCACGCGCTCCCAGCTCTCTTGCATGTCGATGGTGGCGTCTCTGGGTCCTGCTGGCGGGGTGGAACCTACGCAGTGATATGGTGCACACGCGGAGCGCCCGTGCCCGCGAGGCTCGTCTTCTCCGAGCCGTGCGACTTCAATACGTTCGCCCTCGCCCCTTTCAATGTCGGTATATCGAGGTATCCGAGCCCCTTGTCCATAATGCACGTGCCATGGTTCGCGGACTTCATCTGCATGCTGATCTTCAGCGCCGCAATGGCTTTCGGTCTCATCTGCTTCGTGACGCAGTTGCTGCGGCTGGCCCGACGCTCTCCGCCGAGGAGCGGAAGAAGATGCTGAAGGACAATTCCACGTCAGGCCGAGCTAAACATCGCGTCCCTCTTCTGGCTGCTGATTGTACTCTGCCGCCTCCTCGCGAGGCGTCGCCTCCTGAAGTCGCTGCTGATGAATTTCAGCCTGCGGTGCGAACCCCTCTGGTTCTGCATGATCTTTTCCCTCATCGTCGAATTCTGTCACTCCACGAACTTCTTCCTCATTGCAGTGGGCTCTCGGCGGACGTCGCGACCCTGTGCGAGTTGGTGCAGTTGATGGTCAAGTCTGTGGGCGTGTTGGCGCAGCTCTTGCCGCACTACCACACGCCGCTAGTGTCCCTGAATTTGCCATCCGTTGTGGGGTTCTGCGACGGCGCCGCCCTTGCGGAGGTGGCGGCATGTCTTGCTCAACTGCATGGCCAGAAGTCGCCTGATAATGTGAATGGTGCTTTGCATGATGCTGGTATTCCTCAGCGCGCTGCTGATCGAGGTGGCGATGCACGTTTGCCTGCGGCTGCTGCCGATTCTGTTCGGGATCGTGCTGGTGCGACGTCCAGGCATGGTGTTCACGTCGGCCGGGACTTCAACAACGCCAGCCAGTCTGAAGACTGTGCTTCGTCATCGACATTCGTTCTCGACCTGGACTTCGAATCCGAGTTCTGCGCGTTCGAAGACAAAGCTGATCGTGAATGGCCTGGTTCTCTTCGACCTGCGGGAGATTGTAGTGTTTTTCCTGCTGCTCTCGATGGAGCCGTTCTGCGTCGGCATGTTCGTGCCGACGCGGCCGCCGCTGCTCGTGGCGTTCATTTTCCGCTTCTTGGTGATCGTACTACTGGCCGTGACGACCCCGTTCTCGACGCTGCTTCTGACGCTGCTCGGGACGAGCGTCGCGCCGCGTGTGATTTGCATGATTCTCTTCTCCCTGGTGAACATACTGCTGATGCTGATAATGGCGCTGTGGTGCCGACGGAGTCCAAGTCCTCCGGCTACGACTCCGTGGCGGGCCTGGGTCAGTTCGAAGTTCGTGAAGTCGTACGGCGTGATCCTGATAGCGTTGGCGCGGCCGCTGCTTCTGGTGGCGTTCTCCTTTCCCCTAGCGATCGTGCGGCACTTTACAGTGTGGCTGTGGATCGGCGTGTCGTTTCTCGCCATCTGCCTGGTGATCGTGCTACTGCTGGTCTCCACGGCGCTGTGGTGCCATCTGCTCACTCTGGAGATCGTGACGCTGTGCGGCGTGGGCTCAATAGCGTTGATGCGTTCGCTGCTTCTGCTGGCGCGCTACCTCCTGCTCTCGGTGTTCGTGCCGCTACGGGTGCTCAGGGCGCACCTTCGCCGTCTAGGGCTGTCGATTTCCACTGCTTGAAGGTCTTGGAGGTGGGTCCGAGGATAGCGACTCGTCCTGCATGCCGTTTCTTTATTCGATGTGCTCGCGGTGACGAGCGCACGTACTCACATCTTTCGGGGTGTCTGATCGTGCGACTGCTGATGAGCATGCCCGCTTGTCCAATAATTTCCACAACTATGCAGATAGCCCGTCATTGTCGGCGACGCTGTGGCACGCCCGTGCCGCTGGACACAGCGCGCCTGAGGTTTACGTGATGGTAGATGGAGAATCCTGGGGGCAGGCAGTCATTGATGATACTATGCATGAAGGGTTTCTTCAGGACGAGCCCGTCCCATCGCACGCACTGCCCGCTGGACCTCAACATGATGAGCCGCAGCGTGGCGAGCGACCCCATGCTGATGTGATGGTGGATAACCATGCGGATTTTGACGAGACTCTGCATGAGGAGTTCTTCCAGAATGAACCCATACACTGGCATGCACCGCTCGCTAACCCACAGCATGATGAAGCACAACCTCCTGATGTACTGTCCTGCTAGCGTGATGATCCCCGTGGCCTGGGCCAAGACCGTGCTGAGCTACATGCAGAACCTGGTAAATATGACTGGGCTGTTCCTGGTACGCCGTTCCTGCGTCGCGCTGAGCTGCTTCACCTTCGCTGCTGCAGCACGGCTCTCGCCGATCTGGCAGACGAGCTAGCGCGCCAAGCTGCCGCACATCGTCGGTCGGGGCGGACTTCATCTTCGACTGGGCTCTGTACTAAGTTATCTTTGTCCACGCGTGCCTCGGGAGCGTCCCAGGTATGCTGCGATATTCGTGAGGTTTCGCCCTCGCTTCCTGCTCTCCCCGAGGGCGGCGGATTTGGTAAGATTAAAGGTGTGTCGAATCGACTCGTTCTCTACGCTCGTCTCCTCCTCCTCCTCCTCCTCCTCCTCCACCTCCTCCTCCTCCTCCTCCTCCTCCTCCTCCTCCTCCTCCTCCTCCTCCCTCCTCCCTCCTCCTCTTCCTCCTCCTCCTCCTCCTCTTCCTTCTCCTCCTGCTCCTCCTCGGGAGCCTTGAGACGGGGGTCAATGCAAACGGGGGTCAGCCAGAGCGCCCGATCTTGCAGGATCCTGCAGGGCCAGGGTCGCATTGACCTGGGCTTGGGCGCGGGATCCTGCAGGATCCTTCGCATTGACCCTGGCTTGGGCGCAGGATCGCGCAGGATTTCGCAGGATTCTGCAAAGGCTAACTGACCCGGGTCTGGATTGACCTGGGTCAGAAGATCCCCGAACCCTCTTGGGTGCACCTTACTCCCAAGAAGACCAACAAATTGTTCATTAGGACGTGAGTATTATCGCCGTGCCGTTTGTTCCAACGCGCGGCCTTCCGTCTTGGGGAGGCGCCTCGGCCGCCGGGGCAAACGCCGCCTCGGACGCGGTGGGTTCGCGGTGGGGTTTGCCGCGGCGCCGGCTTCGTCTATGTACTTGGGCGCGGGACGCAGGTCTCGCCCTGGGTTTGCCGTGGTGTCGGCGTCGTCCATGTGGGCGCGTTGAGGACACACGGCGCGGCGACATGGTATGTAAAGGACCGCACCAGTGGTGGGCGAGAGCCGAGAGTGCCGAACATGGGTTTACTTGCTATCTTCGCTGAGCGCCCTGCTGTCTACTTTCTGATCCATAGTCTCCATTACGAATTCCCTACTGTGTATGCTCTATTGTTCTTACATTACATTGCGATGTCGGAAGCCCAGGAAACTGGAACCCGCAACCCAGGAAGTTCCGATGTGATGCTTGAAGTCCACCGAGTGTGGCGGCCCACTCGCGGGGATGCGGAATCTCCATCACCAGGCCGCTTTCCAAAGTCGGCCAGCAGTCTCCACGGAACGGCTGGAAACAGTCGCGAAACCCTTGCAGTCTCGGCACCCTGGGCACCGGGAACCCCGCCGCCGACCAACCTCGGCAGTAAATGTTCGCCAGACCGCTTCATTTCCGCAACGACCTCTTCAGTGCAAAGCATTGGTTAGGGAGTAGGCATGGCATCGCTGGCTGCCACCAGTCTGGCTTGTATCATCGTCGGAAAGAGAGAGAGAGAGAGAGAGAGAGAGAGAGAGAGTGCGGGCCTCCTCTGAGGCAGCCGGGCAGATGCATCAGAAGGTCGAATCGATCGTTTGCGTTCTTTCGCGACTTCGCGCTGATCCCTCCCATGCCTCCCCCCTCCTCTATCCTTCCTGGTGTCCGGTTCCTGGCAGGCGTGCACGGCAACAAACACAAAGATGCAGCGCCAAGAACCACTTGGCGCACCTGCCCACAAGTGTGAGCTGCTCCCCAGCCGATCGTGCAGCAGTGGTGCTCACGGATCCTGCGCCCTCCTGTGGCGAGGCGGGCCTGGGCGCCTGCGAGCGCCCTGCCGCCGTGCCTGTCACGGCGGAGCCTCGAGCCGTTCTTCTTCCCCCCCTCCTGTGGACGCTCGCTCACGCCGCTTCGCTCCAGCAGGTTTGCGCGGGGGGGGGGGCCTGGCCTGCCCGTGGCCTCCAGCTCCCCTGGCGCCGTGCGCGGGCAGCGGCAGCGCCCCGTGCGGGGCCCGCGGCCTGCCCGCACGCCAGACCGCAGCACGGCTCGCGTGCCAGGTCTGGCGACACGTCCTGCGTTGCACCTTCGGGGACCTCGCCCGTGCCCGACGCGGGCTCGCTGCGGACTCGACGCGGATGTGGCGCAGACTCGGCGCGGAGTCGGCACGGCTTCGACAGGGATCCGACGAGGCCGACACGGATTCGGCATGGATTCGGCGCGGATAGGGCCGCGACGGAACAGACAAGGTCCCCAGAGGATGCAACATAACATTTCGAGGTTCTCCCCCTCAGCGGCGGGCGTTCGCCCTGGCGTGATAGATCCGGTGGCCCCGCGAGACGCCCAGAGCTCAGCGGTGCGCCCCGTGGTGCAACATTTTTCCCAACCATCATGTGGTGTTGGGTCCTCGCTTTGAAGAGACAGTGCTCCGCGTCTCCTTCCTCTCCTTCCTCTCCTCCCTCCTCCCTCGCACCGCACCCATTTCGGCAGACCCCTCACGAGGATCTTGGCCCCATAGGGAGCCCCACCGAAGGCCCCAGTAGGAAAGTTCGCATGGCGACCTCGGGCCAGTTCGGCGCACCCCTCACGAGGATCGTGGCCCCATAGGGAGCTCCACCGAAGGCCTCAGTGGGAAAGTTCGCATGGCGGCCTCGGGCCAATTCGGCGCACCCCTCACGAGGACCGTGGCCCCATAGGGAGCCCCACCGAAGGCCCCAGTGGGAAAGTTCGCATGGCGGCCTCGGGCCAGTTCGGCGCACCCCTCACGAGGATCGTGGCCCCATAGGGAGCTCCACCGAAGGCCCCGGTGGGAAAGTTCGCATGGCGACCTCGGGCCAGTTCGGCGCACCCCTCACGAGGACCGTGGCCCCATAGGGAGCCCCACCGAAGGCCCCAGTGGGAAAGTTCGCATGGCGGCCTCGGGCCAGTTCGGCGCACCCCTCACGAGGATCTTGGCCCCATAGGGAGCTCCACCGAAGGTCCCAGTGGGAAAGTTCGCATGGCGGCCTCGGGCCAGTTCGGCACACCCCTCACGAGGATCGTGGCCCCATAGGGAGCTCCACCGAAGGCCCCAGTGGGAAAGTTCGCATGGCGGCCTCGGGCCAGTTCGGCGCAACCCTCACGAGGATCGTGGCCTCATAGGGAGCCCCACCGAAGGCCCCAGTGGGAAAGTTCGCATGGCGGCCTCGGGCCAGTTCGGCGCACCCCTCACGAGGATCGTGGCCCCATAGGGAGCCCCACCGAAGGCCCCAGCGGGAAAGTTCGCATGGCGGCCTCGGGCCAGTTCGGCGCACCCCTCACGAGGATTGTGGCCCCATAGGGAGCCCCACCGAAGGCCCCAGTGGGAAAGTTCGCATGGCGGCCTCGGGCCAGTTCGGCGCACCCCTCACGAGGATCGTGGCCCCATAGGGAGCCCCATCGAACATGACAGTCACGACTGCGGTACTCACAGCTACATATGGTTGGGTCCTTCGCCAGGCTAATTTTTTGAGGCGCCCAACCCTTGGCGAACAGTAGTCCGCACTGTGTACAGTTCTCCCACAGCGGCTAAAGGCGCGCTGCTACGCTCCAGTCTTCTTTTCATCACGCCGTCGAGCAAAACATGACAGCAGTCCGCCTGCGATGCGGAAATGCCGCCATCTGGCCGTCTCGTCTCCCAGTCCCTTGTCTGCTTATGTTTCCTATACGTCTGCCTTGCCCTGGCCTCGACTTGCCCTCCCCCTGTCCGTCCTGCGTGATGCGGAGGTGCCAGTGCTGGCTGCCTCGTCGGTGTGTCCCTTGTCCTCGTTCGCTTCTTGCGTCTGTCCGTCTTCTGGCCCGTCCGCCTATCGTTGGTGACTACCTGCGCCCTCCCCGTCGGCGGTCTGGTTTCGTGATTGTTTTTTTTATTGTTTTGCCGATCGGCGCGGGCCCCCAAACCCCCCCTCCCCCCCCTCATGGAGTAGATCTTGGCTGTTTGGGACGCCTGTTTCGAACAGGTGGAGTCTCCCCTCACAAGACCCAGTGCTGCAAACAGTCGCACTGAGCTGAGGTCCGGAGCCAGACACCCCCCCCTCCCGCCCCCTTCCGCCCAATGTCGAAACGCCGAAAAAAGCGCTCACCTCCTGTCGCGCCGCCTCCGCCGCCCTCTCTGATGCCATGCCTGCCTCGCTCTTCCCGCCTCCCCCCTCCTTGACCCCGCCGTCGCTCCCGCCTCCCTCTGTGCTGCTCCCTCACGCCTCCCTCGCTCTCGGCGATCGTCCCTGCACCGGCATGCTGGTGGCGCGAGCTCGGCCTGCCAAACGAGCAGCGGGACACCTGGCAGTGCTCTCCCGCCGGCTTGCTCCAGCAACTGATCGGGTCGGGCGGCTCGAGAGCCGGACGGATCGAGCCCGGGCGGTTCGAGCGGGGCGATTCGAGCTGGGCGAATCGAGCCAGAAGAATCGAGCCGGGGCGAATCGAGCCCGGGCGAATCGAGACGGGCGAATCGAGCCTGGGCGAGTCGAGCCCGGGCGAATCGAGCCGGGCGAAGCGATAGGGCGCGCGAATCGAGCCTTCGCCCCCCCTGCCCGTGCTCCTGCGCCAGCCTGCGCCCGGCAGTGTGCCTCCCACCCGCTGGTTTGCAGGCGGGCCGGACTGTAGCCTGGCCGAGTGCACGAGTGTGGTGTCATGCCGCTGCTTCGTCAGTGCGAGGCGCAGGAACGTGTGACATCCCTGCTCGCTCCGGGCGCGGCGGCTGTCCCCGTGCCGGCGTGCTCGCGCAGCACGGGCCGCCCAGGGAGGCAGGCATCGGTGCGGCCCAGGCAGGCGTTGGTCATCGCTTCCTTGCCCACATCGCCTCAAGCGGGCGTCATCTTGAGGCGTGGGCCGCCACCAGGTGCGCAGTGGCCCGAGCGCCAGGGAGATTGTGCGCAGCCCGGCGCCTTGACTTTGCGCGCCAGAGCTGGGCGCCCCCCCCCTCCTTTGCAGCAGCCGACTTACGCAGGCCGAAAGATTGTCCTCTTGAGCCCCAAATGTTGGAAGCGACGCGCCGTTCAGGGGAGCGGATACATGTAGCGCTCTCTTCGGCAAGGGGCGTGCCACCTGTTATGGGAACAGTTGAGGGAGGTGGCCGGGCCCGCTGTGGCGCTCGAGCTTCCGATCTTGACAGTTTGCTTGTGTGTCCTCATGCTCCCCGTCCTCTCTCCTCCCTCCTCCTCCCACTTCTTCCCTCCTCTCCCCACCTCTTCCTCCCTCCTCTTTCCTCCTTCCGCATCCCTCCTCCCTCCTTATCCTCTCCTTTCTTCCTCCCTCCCCACCTCCTCCCTGATTGTACCTCCTCTATCTTCCCTCCCCCAGTCCCTTCTCCCTTCCTCCCCCCTCCTCGTGCCTCCCCCCTCCTCCTTCCCCTCTCCGTCCTGGGAAGACCCCCCTCCCCCGTAGAATCATAGTTTTGGCCTGCAGATCCACAGTTCCGTGGATAGCATGATGTTTCACCATCGGTGCCCCGTGGATCCAATTTCCCTTGAATCCAGGTTGCTACTTGTAACTATATACGTATGTGTTTCCGAAAAATGCATGGGCCCTTTGGGTTTTCATATGCGTGAAATTGGATCCGCGCAGCACAGAAATAGGATCCACGAAACTGTCGCACACCCGAACAGGGATCCAATAGGATCCATTGGTGTTATCATATCTTTTTAGTCCAAGAAAAAACATCGGCCTGGGGCTGAAGGATTCGGCACCCCTCTCGCACTTGCACGCAGGGGCGGCGGTGGCAGAACGCACACACTATACAACGTGCGTGTATTCCAATTTCCCTGGCCGATGCCGCGACGCCAGAAATGTGCGAAAGAGTGCATGGTGTTATTGGGGGAGGCACAGTTCGAAATCCCATTTACGCAGGCCGAAAGACTGTCCTCTTGAACCCCAAATATTGAAAGCGACGCGCCGTTCATGTGAGCGGATACATGTAAAGCAGTTGATGGGAGGTGGCCGAGCCCACTGTGGCGCTCGAGCTTCCGATCTTGACAGTTCGCTTGTGTGTCCTCATGCTCCCCGTCTTCCCTCCTCCCACTTCCTCCTTCCTCCCCCCACCTCTTCCTCCCTCCTCTTTCCTCCTTCCGCATCCTTCCTCCGTCCTCCTCCCCTTTCTTCATCCCTCCCCACCTCCTCCCTGATGGTCCCTCCTCTCTCTTCCCTCATCCTGTCCCTTCTCCCCTCCTCCCCCCTCCTCATGCCTCTCCCCTCTTCCTTCTCCTTTCCGTCCTGGGAAGGCCCCCCCTCCCCCGTATAATCATCGTTTCTAAACACGGGAAATTGGATCCGCGCAGCACAGAAATTGGATTCACGAAATTGTCGCACACCCGAGAAAGGATCCATTTGGGTCCATTGGTGTTTTCAATTATCTGTTGTCCAGGAGGAAAAAAATTCGGCCTGGGGATGTATGGACACCCCTGACGACGACATGGAGGGGGGAGACGGAGAACGAAGAAGAGGTGAGGACGACTGGGATCAGGTGGGGGGCGTGGAGGGGGACGAGAAGGAGAACGAGGAAGAGGGGAGGACGATTGGGATCAGGTGGGCGGAGGAGCCCTCCTCATAACCAGATCGAACCTTCGAGAAGCCCGTCACAACCACTGATCCCTCTTTGTTTTACCCCGTCCCCCTGACAGAGGCTGAGGGCGACGACAACGACGACTACGACGACGACCTCTTGGGGGCTTCTTTGCAATAGTGGGGTCTCGTCCGTCCTCCTCCGACCGCCCACCTCTGCCTCTTACTTCCTCCTGCCCATAACTCCTGCGCTTCCTCATTTCTGATCCCCCACCTCCTTGTAGTTCCTCGTCCTCCTCCTCCTCCTGCTCCTCCTCCTTGCTCCCCCATCCCGCCTCCTGCTGCGAACCACCTCCTTCCACGTCACCGACGGCGCGACCCCACACGACCACGACGACGACGACCACGACCACGACCACGACCACGACCAAGACCACGACCACGACCACGATCACGATCACGACCACGACCACGACGACGATGACGACGACGACGACGACGACGACGACGACGACGACGGCGAGCCGCTGCCGAGGAGCGCGGCGACGCAGAGCTCCAGGCGCCGCGTGGGTGCCATGGTGCCAGATGTTCTGTATGGAGCCAACTGGCTCCGCTACCAATGCGGGTTCACCGATACAGTCGTCGAACTCGTTTGGAGTCTCGTAAACAGCGTCAGCCAGTATTATCTTGATAATGAAGAGATGAGGTCCGTGAATCCGATTCCTTTTCCAGCACAGGTGTCGGACCAAGTCCAGGTTCCGACCATAAGCCTGTACACGACAGTGTACTCTAGATAGCCCGTTCGAAGTGTATAAGGTAATGGAACAAATTGTTATTCAACTGGTACGGTATATCTATGGAGATCTGTGTATCATCCGGGTGCGGGAGGGAGGCAGGAGGAACGCATGGGGGAAAGGACGGACGGGAGGCTGGGAGCACGCATGGGCCCTTCCCATCTAGGCCCATCCTGGGGCAGGCACCAGGGAAAAGAGAAGGGCAAGCTCGTCAGACGCGGTTTGCACGGGACCCTCGGAGGCGGCATACCCACACGCCCGTGCAGGAGACGTGCTCGGGTGCAGCCTGCCTGAGATGGGCGTCGGCCGGCAGCTTGCCCGAGCAGCTCTGCGAGGAAACAGCCTGGCCTACCATGAAGCTGGATACACATGACGCGGGCGGCTTGGACGAGAGCTGCATACACGTCTGGACAGACGTCATTCAGGCGCTCGGCGCTTTCTAGAGCTGGGAATACCCAGCCTCCGCGTGTGTATCCAGTGCGTGGTCTCCCGACGTTCCACGAGTGAGTCCAGCCACACGTGCGCCCAGCTTCCTGGAGCCGTACCGCGCCATCTCCAAGCCCATCGGAACCTGAGCAGGCACGTCGCACGAAAGTTCACGCTGCCAGCAGGTGCCCTGCGGAGGTGCATGTTCCCGGGATGGCTCTGGGGGCCCGCAGAAGCCTTGGGGCACCTCAGGGAGCTCAGCGCTCGACGGCACACAGGCCCTTAGCTGTCTTACATCGAGGCAAGAGAACCCACCCGGACAGCTAATCCGCGTTTGCTACACGGCCTGGGGCGTGAACAGCCCTGCCCAGTTCGATTCCTTCCTTGGGTGCGTTTACTCAACGGTTTCGCTTGCCGGGGTGGTTATGAAGGGGGGGGATTTGATGCCCTCTGTTACATCAAGATGACTTGCCGCACGTGTCTGCGTCACCGAACCCGAGCCGATCATCCAATCCTTAGCCTCGCGGGCGGCAGAGGCGCGGGGCAGCGGGTGCGCAGCCCTCGCTGCCCCCCCACCAGCCCCCCCACCAGCAGGCCGCCCTGCTCTCCGGTGCGGAGGCGCTGATGCGCCACCCCCGCATGGACGAGAAGCTGTTCGAGAGCCGCATCATGGACAGCACAATTGAAGGACGCTGGCGACGGCGACGACGTCGACCTGGGATGATGATGATGATGATGATGATGATGATGATGATGATGATGATGATGATGATGATGATGATGATGATGATGATGATGATGATGATGATGATGATGATGATGATGATGATGATGATGCTGATGCTGATGCTGATGCTGATGCTGATGCTGATGCTGATGCTGATGATGCTGATGATGATGATGATGATGATGATGATGATGATGATGATGATGATGATGATGATGATGATGTGATGTTGATGTTGATGTTGAGGGAGGAGGAGGAGGAGGAGGAGGAGGAGGAGGAAGAGGAGGAGGACGAGGAGGAGGAAGAGGAGGAGGAGAGGAGGAGGAGGAGGAGGAGGAGGGGGGGAGGAGGAGGAGGAGGAGGAGGAGGAGGAGGAGGAGGATGGGGGAGGAGGAGGAGGGGGAGGAGGGGGGAAGTAGGGGCAGGAGGAGAGGAGAACGAGGATGGGGAGGGGGATGGTGAGGATGACAAGGACGACAGGGGGGGGGGGGGGGGGAGGGGAGGTCGGGGAGATCGGGCGGCGAAGCGGGAGGGTTGTCGGAGGAGGATCGGCGGCGCACCCCCGGGAGGGAAGCGAGAGGGGGGGGGGGGCAGCTCTGCTCTCGGAGGGCGGCGGGGAGTCCCAGGGAGCCCTCGCGCCTTCTGGGGGGCCGCCCGCGTCGTCGGAGGCGGCTCGGGAAGCTCTGCGTAGAGGCCAGAGGCTCTACGAGCCTTCTGGGAAGCCCCGCCGCTCTGCCTGCCCGCGTGGGCTCGCCGCCAAGAGGGTCTGTGGTGTTGTTCCTCCTCCTCTGCCTCCTCCCCGTGGCCTCGCAGCCAAGAGGAGGAGGAGGAGGAGGAGAAGAAGAAGCGGGACCAGACTTAACCGAATGTGCATCAGCAATGCTGCAATCGACCTTCCCGTGCCGAGTCCTTTTTGCCAGAAGGCGCGCCGCCCTTGAGAGACCTGGACAGCTGGGCTGCCATTTTGGCGATGGCCCGCTTTGAAGGAACTGCCTGGTACCCCTGCTGGTCGTGATTAGGAAGACGGTAAGTTATGATCGTGCACTTCAACGAGGTGTCCCGCGAGATCCCTTTTTCGAAGAAGCCATCTGCACAACCGCTGCCCAAGCTTACAGTTGCGGTCGCAAGTTCCAATGAAAACTCCAGCGAGGCCTCCATGCTGAAGGAGCCGCCCTTGACTCGCGCAGTGCTAGAACGGGGGATTTCGGAGCCCCCCTTGCCGCCCGAAGCCCACAAAGTTGCCACCTCTTCGTTCCTGGCGGAACCGGCAGAAGGCTGGCGGAAGGGTGCGGGAGCAAAACGTCTTCTCTGGGGGGGCGGAGTGTGGTCGGCGGGGGGGAGGAGGGGGGGGCAGGGGAGGCTATCGTTTCTGGATGGGCTGGTGGGGGGACGCGAAGCGGCGAAGCGTCAGCAATGTGCACTGTTGTTTCATCAATTTTAGCGCCCTCGTCAGCTCATCGCCCCGAATCTCGGCGACAGCCTAAAAAGCACCCCAAGACCGCCAACGACGGCCCAAGAGACCCCTTAGGCAACACCCGAAGACAGCTCAAGAAAGCCGCAAGACGGCCAAAGACGGCCTCAAAGACTGCCCGAAGAGGACTTCAAGACTGCTCCGAAAAGCGCCCAAGAGAGGAAACGCGAAACCACAATCCGAGTCATCCAGCCCCACAGGCCTACATGAAGGCTCAAGAGGCGCCAGATCACTCCATGGAGGACCCAGAGACCAGCACGAAGGGCCAAAAGGCCAAAAGGAGGTCCCGAGATGTTCAAGCCCGTCCCTGGCGCCGAAGGCGCCAGGGACATCTTCCGAAGCCAAAGCCCTATGAGCCATACGGCCTCTGCGGCCTAAACAAGCCTCTTGAGCCCTATGTGCACTGGGTCCTCCGATCCCTATACGCCCGAAGGCCCAACGGCCTCCCATGAGCCCTACGACAGCGACAAGCATTGCCGACCAACGGTCCCAGAACGATTCCCAGGCGCCATGCGACCAAGGTTGTAAAGGCGAAGCGCAGCGAGCCGGTACATTCCTGTGCACCTATATATATATATATACACATTTATACAAGACTTGAAGCTCGCTGCGCTTCGCTTAAACGTCTAGGTGTGGTGCACTGTCAGAGGCAAGGGGGGGAGGACAAACAAGGGTATTGGGCCGAGGCGCAGCTGCACGTGCAGGCCAATGTGGCTGCAAGAAACGGCAAAGCACGTGGGGTGATGGAAACAGGGGTGCGCGTTCGACGACGGTGACGACGACGTTGTCGTCGCCGTCGTCGCCGTCGTCGGTCATCTAGAAGTGGCCCGCGGTTTTCTGAAACAGTTTTGGGGGCCTTTCGGCATTTGGGTTGTTTTGGGTCGACGTTGCCGTCGTCTTTGCTCGGTTTCGGAAGGGCCACATGGAGCCCCAGAGACGAATCTGCCTTGTGCGTCGGAACGCGCGATGCAAAGGCTTAGCCAGGGAACTGTTCCAAAAATCTCTCCGTCATTTTTTGTCGTCCGCTGTTTGCCTCTTGGTTGAGCGTTCTGCATTGGCTGGGATGGTGTCCTACTGCATGGCGCGCGAGACGAGTGTGCCCATGGGCGGCGTGGGTCCAAACGACACCTTCGACAATGATATTCGATCACCTTGATGAGGTACCGTCGGGCCCCGCAAAAAGAATCCTTCAAGAAAGCGACGATATTCTGCAACCGGTCGTGGGAGACGCGGACGACGATGTCGGGTCTGTCGGCAGCCGTTTGTCCGCGGCGCAGTTGGTTCACAATCTCTGGCCACTAGGGGTTGCACGTCAGGGTAGGGTGATGAAGAAGGACGGCGGGCCTTTGCGTCGCGCCAGCTCCAGGGCGTCGACGCGCAATCGCCGAAGATGGCGATGTGACCCAGGGACGCTGAACGGTAGGACGTTTGCCAACGGCCCCTGCCTTTTCTGGTATCGTTTGCGAGCACCTCGCAAGGCTCCTGTCGAATGGCGCAACGCTGTCGTTGTTGGTGACGAATGTGGGAAAACCTCTCGTCTTCCAGGCGCGTGAACATGTTGACGAGCCACTCATTGAGCAGCCGCCCGCAGACGTGCATGTGTGTGAGGCGAAGCAGTTGTTGGCGATACCACAACATGTGTGTAATATTGTGGCCAGTGGTGCTCGTAACGTCAGTGCTCCAGCCGCGGCCACCGAACGGGTACCACAGGGGGTAACTGAGTGGCTCGTAGAAGGGGCTTAGCGGATGCAGGTAGACAAGCTTGTCGTTGCGCTTGTACGTGAAGACGATGGACCGGTTGCGGTCGTGACCAGGGTCGACGTCCAATATGCCAGCCACTTCGTTGACCCCATCATGCCACTCCAAGATAATGTTGGCGTTTGCTGCTCGTTTGGGTTGGGGAGGAAAACGCTGAATGAGCTGCATTTGGGCGTTCCGCGGCACGATGAGCTTCTCGAGCGTTTTGGTAGTGTGCTTGTTGAGACCGTGTTCTGCGGCGGTGACGAAACGGTCCTGCGGGTCGTGCATTAAATATCGAAGGGGGACCTGGTCCGCCAGAGAAAATACGCGGCGGTAAATTGCCCCATGAATACGAATGTTTGCTGGACGGCGGACGTCTCCGAATCGAAGTTCCTTGTCTCCGGTGCCGCACTGGATTTTGTGTTGTGCGAGAGCGAAAAGGCTATTGTGACGTCTCGGTTGCGCTGTGAAGCCAGCGTAGCAAAGATCGTTGGTGGTGGCGTCATAAACATTGTCACCACGATCGTCTTTGAGCGGCCAGTGGGAGGCGAAGATGTCGCAGAGAGGTTTGTCTGGGTGTTTGAAATAGGTGTCGAAGCTGATGACGTACTTCCCGTTAAGTATTACAGCAGAACGTTTTGGACTCCGAGGTAAACAATAGCGCGCCGCAGCGGTCGCACTGCATGGACACATCTCCCAAAGAAATAGAGGCGAGGGTTGATCTAGATGTCCCACTTTTTTGGGGCGCGGCCTCCGTGCAATTCAGACACGTCCTGGCAGTTCGTTTCCATTGGTTTTCGCGTAGTTCGTCTCAGGGAGCTCGACCCCACAGTTGGTACAGGGCTTGAGCATGACAGCTTTGTTGACAATAGAAACGCACTCCTTGCACCGGGCCCTGCCAGGGGACGAATGCAGCTGCGTTGAGGAGTAAGCAGAAAGAGGTAGAAGTTGGTGGCATTGGGCGCAAGCTAAAGCTGAGCGTTTCGGCGGCATGGGAGCGGCCTGACGCGATGGAACTTGAGCCCGCAGCAACGGATGATCAGAGCGGCGATCGTGCCGGCACACAATGAACGTCACATCGGAATTCCAAGGAGGAATGTTGGACCCGGAAGGCCATTCAGATTCGATCGAATGGCGTTCGGCCCAGCGGGCCATCGTGTCTGGGTCGTGGGTATGAGGCCTCATGGATGTCCTAGGCCGGCACGGAAACGGAAAGAGCGGCTTGTTGGGGCTTGCCCGAGATGGTCCATGGCGCTTGTCGCTCTTGGGAGCCTGGGCGTGAAGGGCTGGTTACGTCACCGCTCGTTCTTGGGAGCCGTGGATGTCAGAGGTAGTGACGCTGCCGCTCGCTATTGGGAGCCTTGGTTATCAGAGTTTGTTATGTCACCGTTCGCTCTTGGGAGCCTTGGCGCGAAGAGCTTTTACGTTACCGATCACTCTTTTCTTTGGCGTCTATGGGCCTTCTTAGGGCTCCTTTTTACCTAACAGCGAAGACTGATAGGTTTCTAGTGGTCTCAAAAGAGCTCACAGATCACTCCACAGGGGGGTCCGGGCAGGTGTTGGGGAGTTGCCGGGCGGCAGGGTGCCGGGCTCGTTTTTCACCAACAGTCACACATTTCGTGCTCTTCGAGTTCCCAGAACTCCATTCCCAGGCCACATTCTGAATACCCGGATGCAACAGTCACACACAAAGTGCTCTTCGAGATCCCAGAACGCCATTCCCGGGCCACATTTAGAATAACCGGATGCA